GCATGGTCTTCGGCGGCTACTGTATTTGTAAAATTGGAGTTTATCATAGTTTTATTATTAAATAAATATAAAGATATTTACAAGTATCATTTTTTTCACTGAATGTTCTCAAACTGACGCCCATTTTGATCATGACATGGCTGTCAACGCGGAACAATGGAATCGCACATGCCATTAAACAATTCCCTTGGTATTCGGGAGCATTCATTTTCAGTGGCTTCTCTCAATTCAGCCACTGTTGCGATAGTCAAAATGCAGTGAAAGAACAATAAAATGATACTTTCGTTTTTGAAATAATAAAATTATGATAAATACCAAGTTAACAATTACTTAAAATGTGCATACATTTTTTTGGGACACCCTGTATACTGATATATACCGCGAACATAAATTAATTTCTCAGGAGATTGAAAAGCTGAATGGTGAGGGTTTCACTATGAAGTGTAAATGAAAAGTTAGATGTCGGAGTGACACCAAGGTACCGGAAAGAATGTCTAAGTATTCAGGACTGGCAGAGTGTGTCAGTCGGAAAACGTGCTGGTTTGTCTTCCGATCATTTACCATTGGCAAACGACAATGAGGAGACGTGGTTCAGGTCATCTTTCAGAAGCTGGAGATGTGGCTGCCTTTTGAGAGGATGGCTGACGACTATATCAGCAGCATATAGTACATATATTCGTTTTACGATCGTAGGTCGTCAGCGTGTAGGTAAAGGGAACAAGATAGGCCCTTGAAGAATTCTGCAGTTTTGGGAAGCACGAAGCTGCTGCCTTGGACGAATTGGTGGCGGCAAGTGAAATGATCCCCAAGACGAGAGACAGCCCAGCTGGGAGAGTCGCATTGAAATATTTTAGTAAAGAGGAGATGGCGTAGGATAATATTAAAGGCTGTGGAGTAGTTAAGTGATGCCCGACAATCCTTATCCAAATCTCTTAGAGCAGAACGAACCACTGGAACAACAGCATCTAGCGTACTATGTCTGGCCTCATATGCAAATTGCATGGGATCGGAAAAATCGGAGGAGAATGGCGTGATTATGTCTGACGCAATTCTTTCTGCAAGTTTTCACAGTGCGGAAGAGGAAGCAATTCAATGAAAGGATTTAAGATTTGAGGTCTTCTTGGTGATGGGAATGCTTCATATTAAACGCCAATCGCGTAGGATAAAAGATATTTAGAAATGAGGAAATATCGCTTGACGGAGGATAGGAGTCGGTGGGAATGTTGGTGAAATTTGCATTTAAACAGTTTAAATCAGCATCGAAATGGACCAATGAGACGCTTAGGACACTTTCAATGTTCAGCTGTAGAGAGGGGACGCGAAAATATAGAAGAAAACGCTGACTAGCCAATAGGTCGCTCAAGCTTGAAGTAGATGTTTGGCAGGACCAATAACACAGGATGTTCTTAGCCTGAAAATGCAGCTCTTTGTTTGACAGTAGAAAGCCTGAGATAGTTGATCAGGATGTGATCATGAGGGTCGTCATGTTCTAACAGTGTAACAGGGATGTGGGTTCGCACGGTTAGATCACCACAGAAGATAATAAGATGCTTACAAGACAGTATGGCAAGTTCTCAGGAAAGAAGGTCAAAAAAGCGAAATAAAGAATCTTCGCATGTCGAGGGGAAATGAAGATGCTAACACAAATGATGCCTTTAAAATGGACGACAGAAATAGCATATATTAAGTCATTCAAGTAAGTAAATAGGGACTTACAGCTTGTGCACCAATGCTAGTTTACAAAACAGTCACTACACCACCTCAACTGCTGGATAAGGGTTTTTGGTCTATAAAAAAGCAACAAAAAGATGGCGGCGTACTCCTTTGCCAGTCAATACCACTATTCAACCAAGTCTCTTGAAGACAAAGAATTTTATTTTTACTGTGCTCTTTTTTCTGTAGAAGTAACCCCAAATATGGAGAATTTAACGACAATTTGTCGCCACAAATCCTGCAATTGATATTTACCTCTTTGGTTGTCAACAAGATGTGCGAGAATAGGTTCCGATATTGATCTAGTTTCACCCTAACTTAGGCAGGCCCCCTCAGATACCCTCTTTGCCGGGTGCTTCCTTGTTTGATCAATGCACCCTGCTCTACAGGAGCAAGTGGACGAATAAATGCACATAGATGTGGCCTTCAATGGGAGTCGGACTTTACCTCCCAAACATGGGACGAGAGAGTTCGTGAGTGAATATGCGTAGGCCTGCTGCGAGAAAAGCGCCTCTGATCGCTATCTTCGAACCTCGACTAATCAGGTCGATTGTTGCACGGCCTAAGAAAGACCGTCCTATAAAAACATCATTCTTTTCTATACTTAAAATAGCAGGCTTTTTGGTGCGTTCGCCAATATTCCCGAGGATGAAAATTTTGGGTACCCATTTTAGGGAAGCCTGTTCTATAGCTGTTGTAGCTCTGCTTCGACAGTTTTAGGAGAACAGATCCGTTGCACCCTTATGCATAGAGGAACAAAACTGTAAAAATTGATATTTTGCCCAGTTCAGGTTGTATTTCGAAATTCCCTACGCTATAAATATATATATTTAACGGGTAACAGTCGCGCTTACTGAGCAGGACGTTCACTTCACCTAAACGTCTAAGTAATTCATACGAATAGACATGCATTGTTTTATTACTTTAGTATTTGATGTTTTCCAGCCGATGGAGCCCATCCACATATGCAGTATTGCAAGTCCTGCGTGCAACTTTCATGACGAAATTTAACTGGGTAGTTAAGAATGTATTTGGACAGATAATTTTGATCAGCTGAGTGGATTTAATAATAAGAAAGGCTTTAGTTTGGAAAACTGCACTCTTAGTTAAAGTTATGGAGCAAAATAGGCTTTAATTTTGGCTAAGTCATGAGTAAGTTTATATCGAGTAAATTTCCTATGCTATGAGGTACGAAAGAACACAACGTTTTATTAATATGCATTTCGCTATGGAAGAGTTCCAGAATAAGTAAAAAAGCGGAAAAATTATTCCTTCCAGAACTGAAAAAAAATTGTCCGAAGTTGCTCAAGTGGAAGTGAAGCCAAGTTTAAGGAATCGAATTTACTTCCAGAAACAAGGAACAATTTAAGCTCTATAAATTATACTAGTAGTATTCCGGCGAAGGCTGAAGTCAATCCTAGAAAACGTATTGGCTGTCATTAGCTAGGAGTAGGCCAATTCTAATGTAGCCGCTGAAATTGCTGCCACACATAAAAAGATGTGTTACTGATACTGATCTAGCAAGATATCAATTAGTAGCCTTGCGAAAACACAAAATCGGTTGGCCCGAATTCGCAAGCGTCAATCCAGGATGGGTACACCCTGAAAGACAGATCGGTGTACAATAAAATACTTTAAAAAGTATGTTTAGCTAACCAGTGAATTTTTTTCACACAAAATGTAGTGACAAAAGTTTCAACGCATTTTGCTCAAACCACACTGCTGACATTGGCGTTTAAGCCAAGTGTTTGCATATGTTAATGCAAAGATATTGTAAAAAACGCCTATTTGAATGTATGTCATGTAAATATAAACTTTTTTGTAAACTATACGTTCCGATTATGTGTTATTTAGAACGGAACAGGTAGAAGATTAATAAATATTTCAAAAATCGTCATATATGCCCAGTACTTTTTGCATTCGCAAGCTTATAACTCATCGTGGAATTAATCCACATATGCGGAAAATAATCTAGTATAAAGAGAAAAGTAAGTTCTTTCATTTCCAGTCCAATTGAATCGTTCATCTTCAGGTAATTTTAAAAAAAATTGTCAAAACTCTCCGATTTCATTGTGACATTATCTTGGAAAAAGTTAATATGTACAGCAATTCGTCGGCTGAATATCTAATTAAAGCACTTTTTAAGAGGTATCATATAATGGCAAGTTTAGTTATTAATCCTAGGAATAACAATATCAGAGTTATATTGCAGAATTTCCGCATACTCGACAATGCAGTTTGCTGTGTTGTGGCATTTCTAAATACGACCCATATGGCCATCTTCATAAGCACTACTATCTAAAAACTCATTTTTTCGGTAAATACTCTTTATGTTTATCTTATTTTAAAGTTTTTGGTGTAAACGTCGAACAGAAGCGCAATTTATAAACTTTTCGATGAAGACACTGAAAACGAGCGAAATGATGATAAATTTTATTCAACGATATTCAATAAAGATTTATCCACTAATGGTAATTTAATGGCATAGTTAAATTACCTATAGTTTATTATATTTTTCTGTTTCGTTTTATTTCTGTGTTAGATTTCTTTGTGAATTAGGTACTTTACTTTACGCTTGCTTAATTAGTTTATTTAAAGTCGATTTTTTAGTTTCATTTTTGTTTTATTGGCGACATGCGGTTACATTTCGTATTTAACTCTTTACTAGTTTAGTTTGTCTTAGTTTATTGATTTCGATTTTTTACCTTATTATGTTTCAATTCAGTTTTTAGATTTGTTTCAGCTTACTTCATTGTTTGTTATTATATATACTTAGTTTTATTTTAGTTTTAGGTTTCATTTTTAGTAAAGTTAGTTCAGCTAATTTTAATTAAGAGTTCTTCAGTTAGTTTACTTTGGTTTTTGATTAATTAGTGAATTGCGGAGATTTATAATTTTTTATTTTACTTAAGTCTCGAAAACTTACGGCCTTTGGGTTGTTCCGTAAATTGAGGCAGTTCGGGGTATTTGCGTCGTTGCACATTTTATGGAATTCTTGTTTTCCATTGGTTTTATTTATCTTTATATTTATAGCGCACATTTTTGTTGTCAAGGCTTAGTTTATTTATTTTTCGCCTTCCGTAGGCTTTACTTCTTTTATTTAATATTTTCTTCGTCTATAATACCGTACGTGTGTAATCCTTACTACCGATGCTCCCGTAATACACAATGATGGGGTTTCCGCGTGCTGTTCTGATCCCTAAACGCGACGGTTACCCCTTCCCCTCTGCATAAGGGAATCAAGGAACGCAGAAAACGTTAGCAATGGATGCGCATTGTTATATGTACTACTGGACGAGGGCGATGGTGTTAATGTTGTAGTCTGTCGGACAGAAGGTATAATCCACATATCGACCGTAAAATGCAAGGTCATTGGTGGTCTCCCTGTGACGTGTTTCCTCGATCTTGCCCATGAAGACATTTGAGAGAAATGGGCCATGCGGCGAGCCCATCGCCACACCGCCTATCAACCTGTAGCACCGGCAATTGCAGAGAAATAACACATTTTGTGTACACCGTGTACGCAGTTCACGGAGAATAGCTATCTGGAAGTTTGTGAACTGAATAATATCACAGAGGCAGTTTGCTGTTTCGAGCATGGGTACGTTGGTAAAAAAGATGATGACTTAAGGATAGCGTCTTCCTTCTACCAACGTGCATGTTCATCATGGCGCTAACAAACTCCAATTTGGCTTTCAGACTTTGCGTATATAGGTAACTTTTAAGCGGCTAAAGATTTTCTCCTAGCCATTTGGCGATGGTGTGATAAGAGAAGTTTCTCATATCCATAGTTGGACGCAAAGGTAGCTCTGTTTGGGAATTTTTGGAAAGCCGTACATTCTGGGTATGGTCGTGCCTACAAGTCTTAGTATTTGAAGCTCGTTGTCAGACAAATAAACCCTTCTGCGTGGCAGTATTTGACAATTATAGTCAACTGCCCCTAGGCGACCTCAGTCAGATCGATGTCATTCTCGGAGTTTGAGAACATTTTATGATATGCCAAATAGTTTTTAGTTTTGCAACAAAATACTTTATATCCATTAGTACTATTCAGGACCCCTTGTCTGGTCGGGTCGGCACGATCTTTTTCATTTCTGCGATGGCCCCTTAGGCTTTTAAAATTGGCCTTTGTAAATGGACCGTTGTTTCTTGGAGCCTTTCATAAGTATTGTTGGCAGCAGTTAACTAGAGCCAACTTAAGGAAATCAAATTCTCTAGGCTCGCTAGGTTTTCGATAGTCAGCTTGGTAAAAGAGGCTCTCGAATTCAATGTCTACCTGTAGTTACTTCGACCTTCGCTGTGCAATGAATAACGTAGGATCTAGAGATAGTACCTCCATGAGAGTTTTTCAGGACTTACTAAAAATAGATATGTACGTTCCGCCGCGGATTGTTTGGGAGGGTGGTCGGCGTTTTTATTGGTTATAAACTCCGAAGGAACTTGGTTCATCTGGTTTCGATTATTTTGTCTCTGATTGTCTGCACATGGTCTTCAAACGCCACTCTCTGGAGATTTTCTAGACGATCGAAGACCGCTGCTCACCTAGACAGGTTTCGCTTAAGTTCCTGACTTCTGGCGTTAATCATTTCAAGGTAACTTTCCACATGCCGTGTTCGCGTGGCCGACAAAACGGCGATATTGTTTCTTCGTAAGGTTTTCCATTAATGTCTCAGATATTCACCACGATCCGTAAACCCCGATAAGATCTTGGTTACCACGTTTTCCTCAGCAAACCTGGTATCGAAAATCAGGAATCCGTTGAAATTCTTTTACACCGAGAGATGTTTGGACTGTCTGAGTTCTCTTGTCGCATGCACTTACAACGCTAGATTATATTAATGCCATAGCCGATGCGTTATATTCCACAGCATCCAACTCATCCCTATCTACCGCTTCCAATCTATTTCACGTTGGAGTGCAACGAGGGTATAGCTCAGTGTTAAAGCAGTCTAGTGCTGATCGAGAGATCGTTGTGTTCCAACGCTCAAACTCTCGGGACTGCTTGCACGCGCGCATCAATGTCCGCCGCACCCAATCCGGTCTGGTTAATCACCTTCCTGAAGCTAACTCACACATGACCTCGTTGGAGGCCCTGTGATGAGTTCCGCGCTCTCACAGTTCGGACACACGCTCCTCCGCCTGCAAAACTTTTTTCAACCTATTCTCTATACAGAATTTACTATTC